TGCCGCTGCGACCACGGCCACTCTTGGCCGATGCTGGTCCCTGCTCGGGCCTGATGCAGATGAACGAAGGTTCTTGGCCTCCTTGTTCGTGACGATGATCTGCGCAGCCTTGTCAAATAATTTCGCCGTCGTCGTCAAGGTGTCCTCGACATGCGTCAGGGCATTGCTCAATGCCGGACATGACCTTGAGATGAAGTAGTGGCGGATGGCCTTGAAGCCCATCTGGATGTCTGGGACTGACGTCAAGCGTTGGTACTCGACGATCCAGTCCGTACTCGGCAGCGTGCCTTGCTCGAAAACCATGAGCTTGTCCATGGCTTTGATCTTTGGCGGCTCCACCTGGAACCGCTTGTGCCACGCCGCCTTCAGATCATCCCAGGTGATCTTGGTGTGCAAGTCATTAGCTATCACTCCGTACTTGGACAACAGGTTGTCCAACCAAGCCTGACACGCGCCCCCTGAGCGAGAGTACAAGTAGGTGTGATGCTTGTGTTCCTTGACGTTGTGGAGCTGCAGCGTGAGCTCGAACTTGCGAAACCATGGAATTGGATCTGTCTTGATTGAGTCGTGGAAGATCTCCTGCCCATCGAACTTAGGAGCTGTCTCGCGCGGCTCCGGACTCGAGGTGGTGGCGGTAGTGCAGATCCGCTGCTGCAACTGTTGCGTCACGGTATGCTGTAACGGTGCACCGTCCTGGAGGGAGCCAACGTGCATCTTCAATGCGGTGAGGCGGTCGGCAGTATTGGAAGAGCCTGCGTCGGCGGCGGCGACTGGTCGCTGCTCCACCTGATGAAGGCGGTCTTGGAGATGAGCTACCGAGTTGTCGAGACCACGGATCTCTGCCTGCTGTGTAATGCAGGTTGCCAGGAGATCCGTGAGATGCGAGAAGAGGAGCGCTATCTTGTTTGCGCTATCCTCCAACTGGTTATTCTCGGCCTCGCTTCGCCATTCTGCTGCCATGGTAAGTAATGCCCGCTCTCCGATGAATATCTTCTCACGACGCTGTGTCCTTTCTTCATCGACAGCCCTTGCTGCTGCCTCGTCGTGCTGGCGCTGTTGTTGCACGGCCAGCAGACGTGCCTGCCGGCATTCTCTGCCCTTTTCTTGGCTGCTGCGGCAGCGTCATCTGCCCGCTTCTTTGTCTCGGTACTCCAGGTTAACATGCGGGCCTGATAGGCCGCGTCTGTTTCCCCGGCCTTCTGGTCCATGACTGTTATCTGTGAACGCAACAGCATAGACCAGACCGGTGCCTGCTGATGTGGTATCCCTTGCTTCTGACGTGGCAATGCTGACGTGTCCTGCTGACGTAGCCTGCTGACGTGGTCTGCTGACGTACTTACGTAGCCTGCTGACGTGGCCTGCTGACGTGGCCTGCTGACGTGAGCTGCTGACGTGGCAACTTACCAATGCCGTCACAAGGGGTACCCGGAGACAACTAGAAATGGCAAGGCGAGAGATGGCAACAACATAGGTGGGGAGGGGTGGGTGGGATAATCACCCAACTCACACTTAGATAAGGAGCCATTAATCAAAATAGAAAAGTTTGAACTTTGCAAAAAAAAAATTCGAGAAAATAAAAAATCCCGATTTTTGCAAGTTCGGTAGGTCTCCCAACCTCCCTTGAAGTTCGAAATGATCACTGAAAGCAAAAGTTTTC